CCCCTTCTGCACAGAAATCCTTCCTCAGAGCCAGCCTGACCCTGCCCTGGGCAGCTTGAGGCCATTCCCTCGGGGCCTGGCGCTGGGGCCTTGGCTCCAGAGACTCATCCCCCCTCTCTGCCCCCCCCTGGCAGGGAGTTGCCGAGGGCCAGGAGGTCTCCCCTCAGCCTCCTCTTCTCCAGCCTGAACCCCCCCAGTTCCCCCAGCCGCTCCCCAGCAGACCTGTGCTCCAGACCCTGCCCCAGCTCCGTTGCCCTTCTCTGGCCACGCTCGAGTCACTCAATGGCCTTTTTGGGGTGAGGGGCCCAAAACTGAACCCAGGAATCGAGGGGCGGCCTCCCCAGTGCCGAGCCCAGGGCTCAGATCCCTTCCCTGTCCCTGTGGCCACGCCAGTGCTGACACCAGCCAGGATGCTGTTGCCCCCCTTGGCCCCCTGGGCACACTCTGGCTCCTGCTCAGCCGGCTGTCCATCCCCCCCAGGTCCCCCTGTGGCAGTCCCAGCTGCACCAAGGCTCAAGTTTGGTGGCAGGACAGGATGGGTCATTAAGAAACCATGTCAGAACTCATAAGGTCCAGCAGATGCTTTAATTGGGGGGATATAAACAACTTCAGGTCTCTCCTACCATTTCCGAGGGCCTGATTTTAGATGACCCCACTAACCATCTTCTTTCCAACACTCTTCCAGCTTTGCCTTTTATAAAATCCTCATCGAGAAGCCACAACATTTTTTCCCTTCCGTTTGCTGGCGTGTGCCGTTCCTTACTTGCAAAAGATGGTGAACTTAAATAAAACATTTTATAACATGAAAAAAGAAAACCCCAAAATGTGGGTCACCGTGTAATGTCTAGCATCAGCACATGCAATATCTCTTGAATCAGTGGTTGAGTTTACAAACTGTGTTTCAGACCCTGTGCTGGAACCAACCTGCTTCCTTCAGCCCCTGCAGCTGGAGGCGAAGGTGAGCTACAGCTACAGCAGTTTATCTTTTCTGCATAAATCAAATTAGACGGAATAGGATGAAGCCAGACGAAGGAGGATTTGCAAATTGCATCACATTTCCCGAAGGTGTAATCCTGCAACAAGTAGAGAGTAAGTGCTGGCTCCTGGCACCTTGCCCTGGGGGGGGGGGTAAGTAAACAAACTGTCATACTGAAATAGATTAGAAACGATATTTAGTGTGACATTTAAATGTTAACAAAGATACATAGCAACATTGAATGATTAAACTTTTGAAAGCATCGTCTGTAGTTATTGCTTTGGTTTGTGATGTTTATTTGTAGATAAACACATGTGTTTGGTTTTTTTTTTAAAAAAAAAATTTTAGGGCAGGCAAAAAGCTTTTTTACCTGAAATGTGGTGTGCAGGAGGGAAACTGGACCTCCCCAGCTGGAAACTTTGATGGAAAAGCTGCTCCTGGGAGTAGCAAGTTATATGTTCCTGGGAATAGCAAGTTACATGTTCTCTCAGCCACTTTCTTACTTCAGGGAGGTCAGAAAGCAGTTCTGGTTGCAAAGAAAAAAAAAAAAATCATCATCTTCTCTGAGGTTTTAAACACCCAAAGCACTCGGGCCGAGCTTCTGTCTTTGCAGCAGCCTCCACGCAGGCAGCACAGTGTTGGGGTGTGGAAGTGACAGCAAAGGAAGGGTCGGAACGCCCAAGTATTGGTTTTCAACTGCTAATGTAAGTTCAGTGATGCCTTTAAGGCCATTTTTTTTCCTAGTGAAAGTAGTTGCCACCTTGCTCACTAAGTGAAGATAAACTGAAAATAAGTTACGCTGCTGAAGAAATAATTGCTGTGGCATAAAGGTGGGAGGAAAGTCATCAGCACATGCCTGAGCCCTCCATCAACTGCTGGTTCCTGGCTTGGATGGAGAGTGTTGGGCAGGGCCGAGGCTGCTGTCAGCCCCAGATCCCTCCTGAGGGATTTTTTTACCCAGCCAACCCTTCCCGGCTGACCTGCCACATCTCCCTGCTGAGGCACGGGAGGCTCTCAGAGGGGTGCCGGGTGCCTGCTGGGCTGCAAAAATCAGTCCCAGGCAACTGCCCCATTCTTGGCTCCTGGGCCTACCGCAATCCCACGCACTGACGGTTCTAGGAAAGCTGTTAAAATTATTCTTAGTTGTCATTTTTGGCTCTTAAATCATGGCCTATCCGAGGGAGCGTCCACCTGTGGCTCTGCCTTCCTCAAGGCGTGCGGGTGCATCGCTGCGTGGAGGACGGGTGAACTCCGTGCTGGAGATCAGCCTCAGCTCCCAACCAAAATGGCAAGCGGAGAGTTTCTGGACCAGTTTGTCACCTGCCCAACGGGTTACCGCAATAAATCTACGCCCAGTTTGCTTTAAAATGTCTCTGCTTGGTGCTGTACCACGTTTGGCACTGAACTTCGCGCAGCACCACGCAAGGGCAAAGCCCCTTCCCCTCGTTATCCTGCTCCTCTCAGGCATGGCTGGAGAAGAGGCCAAGCCGGGGCCACCAGCAGGTGCCGCGCAGTGGCCCTGTTGCCCGCGGGTGAGGCAGGAAGCCACAGGGGAGCAGGGATGCCCTCGACGCAGCGCTGGGGGCGGCTGACTGTGCCCAGTGGCAGCACCCCCATTGCCTGTGGGTGCACAGGAGAGGCAGGGGCCCCTTTCTGTCCTCGCTCGCCCCGAGGTGCCCACGAGCAGCAGATGAAAGTGTTTAAAGTTTCTCCTCCACCCGACTCACACATTTTTTTTTTGTTTGTTTCCTGGTCTGGATCAAAGCCGTGGGGCTGGTGAAGTCTCTTTCCCATGCTGTCAGCTATAGAGGAGCCTATGGATTATTCAAATGAAAAGGTGTGGAAAAAAAAAAATCATGATGTGAATTATTTTTTGTCATTTTACTACTGACACTTGATACAGGAAAGGTTAGTTTCCCACCACCTTTTCTGTACGTCCAAGTTCTAGGAAAAAGTTTAACCCCCAAAGCGTGTGTGTGACAATAAACTTTGCAGCTAGGGAACAGAGAAGGGCTGATTTAGCCAAAATGTGTCTGAACTACTTTATGGAGGAATTGCAAACCACGGTTTTAAAAACCCCACAGAATTCACAAAGGTTGGGGAGTTGCTTCTGAAGATAATGTAATTCTTCATGAGCTGGGATGTATGTGTCATGCTAAAATAAACAGTACAGGAAAATCTGAAAATTCAAAGCCTTTTTTTTTTTTTTTTCTGTTGATTATATCTTTAAGAAAATTCCCCTTCAGGAAGTAGTACTAGAGTCAGTGAAGCTTACTTAAAACTGCAAACGTAATGCATGTTAGTAGCATTTTCCTCTGCCTTCTCTTCCCCCTCCCTCCCCAGTTTGGTGTTGCTTTTTCAGGGGACTGGTGAAAAAATGTAATTGCTAGGAAGTCCCATTCATCCGCTTATCTTTGAGTGGTTTCCCCATGACTGGGGCCACCCTGACTCTAGTGACTTGCAGTTTCAGAAAATTCAGGTGGAAATAATCCTTAGTTCAAGTGCTCACTTTCTGTCATTACCCTGCAAGGCACCTGCAGCCAAGCAGCCCCACGCTCCGCTCACGTAAAAGGCTGAAGGAGTTACCGAGACAAAGAATCAGAGCCAGGGCAGCGCTGGCTTTTGTCATTTTTGGCGCAGATGTCCAGCTCCGTTACCAGGTGGTGTCGGTGGGGTCTGATTTAAGGTGATTTAAGGAGGCACAGCGTCCGTGGTGCTTCCCCAGCCCCGCGCCCTGCCTGCGCCTGCCACGGGCACCCACGCTCCTGCCCCCGTCCTCGAGCGCCTCCTCCCTGGGAAATCCGTGACACAGGGACTCCCGCACCCTGAAGAGTGAGGAAGGCAACGTTCTCAGGCTCATTCCCGTATTCGAAGACAAACGTCCCGACGTTACGGACATTAAACTCTGAAACCAAGCTCTGAAACCAAGCGCTGGTCGTACGCTGTCTGCGGAGGAGGTTCATCACTGCTGCCTGCAAGGATTGAAAAAGGTGAAAGTCCAGCTTCTGCTTGGGGACTTGGATCCAGTACCCAGAGCTCAAGGTAGAAGAGGTGACCCCTTGGTTACGAAGAAATCGCACCCCTTGGGGCTTGCAGGGCTGCAGAGGCAGCCTGGCATGTTGCTGAGGAGCCTTTGTCTGAAATCTCAGGCTTTGTGGTGACGAGGTCCTTTGCATTTTGAGGTGTGCCACTGGTGCTGGCCTTCCACTGCCACCCTGAGCGAGCAGCAGGTCCCCCTGGCCTGCCTTCTACAGGGTCAAGCAGCTCAGCCTCCACACAAATGAACTCTCTAAGGCACTTCTGTACCATTTTCACAGAACTTGTGTCTCACAGAGAATCACAACATGACATAACTGTCATAAATGGCACCAGAAAGCAGCACTAAGCAAAGACAATATGGTTAAAATATGCTTCTGTCATCCATTCATTCATTCATCTCGTTAGAGGTGGGCCTTTCCTTTATTCTAAAGAGAACTGTTACACTTAGTGAACATTCTCTTCATGTCATCTTGTAGAGAAATGAGTAAAAGTTCTCTCAGAAGCTTGGGAACTTTGTGTAGAGGAGGTGGGTAGCTCCAAACAGGCCTTGACTAGAGATACAAATCCATCCTGAACTCGCCCCACGGCGGTGATGTGTCACGCTATCGCCAGAGCTGCAGCTGTTCCAAAGAATCTGCATCTGGATCTCCCCGCCAGGACATACCCGAAGAACATCACAACTTTATTTTCACTTTTAAAGCCTAAAATACATCTAAAAGTTAACTGCATTGTATTCATTTAAATTCTTCCAAATCGTGGCGATTCTTAAACCCAGGCATAGAAACATGTAGAAAGGCAGGAAGTTTCAGTCTAATCATTTCAGATTCTAGTTTAAATTGTTACAAGTCTACAGTAGTATAGTATATGAGGGAATTATACTTTTAGATGCCTTTATCCGAACTCTATCAAGTGAGGCAGTTAAGCCAGTCTAACAATACATAATTACTTGAAGCTCTAATGAACATAGGAGCCTAGGGAGCTGACGCTGCATTTCATGATCTCAGAGCACTGGTCAATGTTCTTCTTTATCCTGTAGAATGTTTCCACGTATTCAGACCGGCCCAGAAGTTCCACAAAATCCTCATCGTGAGTTATCACCAGAAGCTGGAAGTTCCGCTGTTGTGAGCGGCTTTTGATTATCCTACAAAGAGATATTATTTAGTGTTTATCAAGATCACAGTCTAGTTTTGTAGAATTTGTAAATACATAGTACAAAAATAGTTAGCTATTGATAACAACGCAAACTGTTGAGCAATCTAATGTAGATTAGCAACTCTTTTTACTCAGATAAAAAAATCCCAAATTATTTAAGAATTATTTTTTTTTCTTCCAGACAAACAGGGAATCTAAAGCTACCCCTCTGCATGTCTATTTGTAGATGCCAACCAAGGTATGCCAGCTTAAAATATAATTCACTTCTGCCAACTACTGTTAAAATTTGAAAAACATTCATCTTTTAGCTTCAGAAGAAGAGATCACTTACTCCACCAGGGCATGTGCAAGAGACTCAATGTTTTCTCGGTCGAGATTGGTAGTAGGCTCATCCAGTGCCAATATGCCACAGTTGAGACAGAACGTTTCTGCCAGAGCAAGACGAATAATAAGAGAAGCAAGCACCTAGGGGAAAAAAAAAAAAAAGGAAAAAAAAAAATCAAACACGCAAATATCACTTTTTGAAGTGTTTATAGAGGAACTACGTGGAACATGCTATTTTTAATGCCATTACAAACTGTCACTAAAGTTTACGTAACAATGTGCTGACAGTTCACAAAATGACAGTGACTAATTAATTATTGAAAAAGCACATTATGATTTCAAGTTTGAACTGAAAGATCCATTCTACAAAGTACCGTTGGAAAAAATATCAGAGAAAAGTCAGTCAAAATTTTGGAGACACTGGAAGTAAGGATTCCAACCCGAGGTCAAGGTGCTACAACAATGTCACCGGCATTTCCACACTACACTCTGCTCAAGCCCCACCCCACTGCACCAGGATGGTGCAAATTTGCACCTGTAGTACCACGTTTGAGTTACCGAACTCCTGACTACTTACTAAAACCACAGGTAGTAGGATTTACCACCTTACGTGTTAGTTTGGTATTAATATGCCTAATTATTATTATATGTCCTGAACTAGTGAAAATTACAGAACACTCGATGGAAACTGTGCTGCCAAACATACTTTCCAATTATCACGACTGCTGGCATCACAGTTCACGATCAAAGAATTCTCAGAATATAAGCTAAGAAACTGTGAATAAGTTTCACTCTCATTTACATAGGACTCTAACGTAACATCCTAGACTACTTTAGGAGAGGATACATTTTTTTGCCTATACTGCTGTTTCGTAAGATTTGGATTTCCCCCCCAAATTAGTATGGAATTTTCAAAACCAAGTACACATCTACACTCAGGTGGGAATTAATCGGACAGCATTTTTCATATTCAAGCAACAATATTCATTGTCTCATGAGATATCCTTTCATGCTTCTGTTGCTGCATGCACTTAAAAATACTGCGTATCATTTTGTTCCATTTATTGATTTCATTTTCTACTACCGCCTGTACCACGTGAAAAAGGCCTGGCTGGCAGTGAAACTCTGCTGAAGTAGCACAGTGGGAACTACTACTCTGGAGGTGAGGAAGTGGGCAGTTTGCTACTTCAGATAATGGCAATTCTTCCTCAACATCAAAGAGATCTCAAGCTGTTGCCATCATAGCAGCATAAGAAAGCTCCAGCTCCCACTGCAGGAGAGGAAGAACGCACCTCCCTCCTCCCGCTGCAGCATCCCCAGGCTACGCTGTGCTGGCGCCCTGCCCACAGGGCATTAAGTGCCAGGGAGAGCTCTCCACAGTCCGGCACGCACCAAGGATGGGCAGAAAGTGTTCCAGCAGGGAGGAAATAAAAGCATCCCTACGTGTATTTGTGTCCCTTTCTACTAGCTCTGCACTTAGGAAGATCGCTTGTTCTGCTGGAAATGGTTCATCTAGGGAAGTAGCAGATTCTTGCTATAATACTGCAGGTAGCTTTGGTTGCCTAAGCTGCATAACCAACATGCAAGAGTCAAATGGCTACAAGTGGTTTATTTTTTCCCCCTATACCTCAGCTCTTTAAAATAAAAAACCAGTACAGACGGTGATTTTGAAGACAGAGCAACAAGGCTAGTTCTTTTCTCTGGTTTAGGAATATTTTAGATGCTCTGTATCACGAGTCTCTTGAGCCAGGCCCCGAGGGAATGGCCTCAAGCTGCCCAGGGCAGGGTCAGGCTGGCTCTGAGGAAGGATTTCTGTGCAGAAGGGGCTGTTGGGCGTTGGAATGGGCTGCCCAGGGCAGGGGGGAGTCCCCGGGATCCCTGGAGGGGGTGAAGAGTCGGGCTGAGCCAGCGTTGAGGGATCTGGGGGAGTTGGGAACGGTCAGGGGGAGGGTCATGGTTGGGCTGGAGGAGCTGCAGGGGCTTTTCCAACCGAGATTCTGGGATTCTGTGATTGTAACACAACAGACAGGTGGAACCAACTCTCAAGGCTGGTGTGACATGAGGCCGCTTGCCCAGTGAGCACTAGTGAAGTACCGAGAGCACGGAGCCGACAGCTGAGCCAGGCAGCACAGAACGCAAGGCAGTGCCTGGAAGTACAGCGTGGTATGGTATGTGGTGACATCGACCGAAAGGTGGTATTTGGCAACAGGGGAGAGTAGTGTAACTCAGAGAAAAAGAGGTCTCACGCTCAGACACAGCAGTGAAAAGAAGATCAAGGGCCAACCCTTGGGAAGGAAAAACGACAGGAGCAAGTCAACAGACCTAAAGCTACGGGAACCTCGGTGAGACAAGACTGGGAGGATCTGAACTTGAGGAGAGGGAAGTTGAACCCTTCACTCCTGGAGGGACTCGGACCAGTTCCCTACTGAAACAATGGACTCTGGCCCCCCAAAAAGAGGGTTCAGATGTTCAGAATTACAGATTGCATCCTGTCAGCAAAATCCATACACAGGGAAGGGAAGTTGCACAGGGCTGTAAATTAGATTTGGAGGTGCCTGGTCGTCGGGGTCACTGCAGAACGTTACCCTCCTGCATTCACTTGAGTCAGTTTTCAGAATCCTCTTTACCACGTACTAAAAACTGCTATTACCTTCTGCCCAGCACTACACCTTCCTCGCATATCCAGTGCTGTATCGCCCTTTATCATTACTACTCTGTAATTGTAACTTCTTCTTTTATCAGAGGCTGAGACATTCTCATCTGCATCAGAACGAATTTCTATATAGTCGATATCTGAAAACGGGAAGGAGACAGTTTCTACGTTACCAAAAATGTTCAAAAATATCGTAGGATTAAACAGAGCCGACAGGTATAATATACAGTAACATCAAAAGTTTTCTTCCGAACTCTCACTAATAAATATGTCTTTGAAATTAATCTTTCCAAAGTTGAAGGAATGAACTCATGCGCTTCCCCTGTCTCAAGGAAATCATAACTTTGGAAAACACAGAAAAGGGAAAACTATCTCTATTTATCCTGTAACTAACCACATAATGCATAATAAAGATTACAGCAGTGGCCAACAGATGTAGCCTTTAGAATGGAGCCAACTACCTTCAGATCCTGGATTTTCAGTATTTTGAGAACACTTTTCAGTACGCAGTGCTCAGTAACA